GAGCTCTGTGGAAATAGTAAATTCAGTACAGTTGAGCCCTCAGCATAATTTACCAGGGTTTGTTTTTCTTTCTGGATTTACAGAGATATGAAAAATGCTGTAATTGGAAACAACAAACAAAAAGCCAACTTGATTGTTTTGGGAGCAGTTCCAAGGTATGTCCTTTGCTACTCTCCTTTTTACTGATTTGTGGCAAGTCTGGGATAAAGATATTTAGATTACAGGTGCTTGTTTTTTATATGTTTTATTTCTTTTACCTTTTGAAAATTTGCAGTTGACTGCTTATTCTCCTTAATGCAACAGAGAGATTTGAGAGTCTGATAACTTCATACACTGTGGAATCAGTGAGGTGTGATACTTTCAGCTTGTAATTTTAGGGAGTTCATTAAAGCACCTTTGGCACATGTTTGAACACTTAGCTGCCCAAGCACAAAATCTGCTTTCCAGCTTTGGCAAAAAGTAATAGTGGAAAAACATAGCTGCTTTACTTCCCATACTCCAGCCAGTCACCTGGTGAGCTGGCCGTTAGAAGTGTTTGAGGTTACTTGAATTATTTTACAGTTGTACTGTTTTAAACGCATATGGGTTGCCAGCTTCTCCCCTTTTTACTCATTTAGGAAATGATAAAAATAAGCCATTGCTCTGAGTAGTGCAAAACTATGCTTCTGTGTTAATGCTTTCTGGGTCCTGGCTCTACTGGTGAACATCAAGGGTAGACTCTGCCCTCTTTGTCCCAGCTCTCTTTTTTTCACCAGTGAGCAAGGTAACATCAACTTGGGCAGTCGTACTGGTATTGTGCAGCCTGCTTTTGTATATACTATACTTTTGTCCTTTGTAGACTGATGACTGCATGCAGCAGGGGGAGGGGCAGAAAGAAGTGGGAAAGAAAAAGGGAAAGAGGAGAAAAAAAAGGAAGGGGGTGGAGGTTAAGTCACATGAGTACATAGGTGATATAAGTCTGATTTTTGCTTCGAACAGTTTGCTGCAGCAGGGGCAGGAGAGCGATGAGGACTGGATATAGGAGGTTTTCATTTTCCTGGCCATGTGTTTCTTCATTGCTTCTGCTGTGCATTGCTGTTCAAAGGCCAGTGCTTTGTTCTGGATTTGGGACCTCCAGGATGGACGGTCGTGAGCGATTTGCTCCCATGACTCTGGGTTGATGCTGAAACTCTTTAGGGATACCTTTTGGACTCTTTAGGGGGATGCCTGCTTTTAATATGTTAATATCCTTGAACAGACCCATTTTGGCTTTGAAAAATATAGGCAGTATTTCTACCTGAAGACAGGCTATTCGGAAGCAGTAGTTCACATGTACCACCTTGCTTAAACAAATGTGCTGATGGGTGGAAAGAAGCAAAGTCCCTCAAGGCTCTTTATGTAACTTAAAGGAAAATGCTGAGGCAGCATAACTAAATTGAAAGTTATCTAGGTATATGGTCTTTTGAGACTAGCACTCATTCACTATCTGTCCAGAACCCTAATCTTGAATTTTATTTATTTATTATAAGGAACAGAAAGGAGAAATATTTGTATCTGATAACTGCATGTTACTATCCAATTGGAAGCTGGGATGACTCTGAGGTTTAGCTTAATGTGTTCACTTCTCAGCACTTACGCTGTGGAGAATTATTTGATTTTTCTTGGTAATTGCCTTGCTAGCTCTGGCTTTGCCATTAGCATTGAAGGGGATGTTGGAGGTCATGTAGTCCAATCTCCTGTGTATATGCAGGATTCACTATTCCTATACAATCCCAAATTTCTATACAGTCTCTTATTGGAAACTTACAATGAAGGCAGTTTCACAGTTTCCTTGGGCCTCTTGTCTCAATTCACTGTAGGACAGTAGAACATCCTAGATCCTGGGTCCTAAGGCTGCCAAAGGAAATTGTGTTCTCCCAATGGCATGCCGATGAAATGTTACTTTTCTACTATTCTTTACCTGCATTTTCTGTACCCAGGATAAATGTCTCGAGAGACTGAGGAAACATGCTACCCTTTTTGGTTTACTTTTCACTTGGTGTGTACCATTTTATGAGAATTGTAGATCTAGTATCCCCGTGCAATTCATATCTCCCCATCCACCTGCCTGTTCTGGAGGGCAGCAGTTTTGATGAACAAGTCCTTGGCCTGAACGTTAAGGTAGGCCATGCTTTCGAATGCATTTCCTTTTATGATTTTTCATTTTCGTTAAAATAACAGCCACATGTTTAACAGTTCCTCCCCAAAATCTAACTTTCTTTTTACCTCAGTTGTAAGTAGAGCCACCTTTCTGGTGACGTACAGAACTGGAATTACATGACTAGGTCCATGGCATTATGCCATTACTGCTTCAAGCTGTAAAGGTTTATGGAGGGGCCAGAGAATCTTTTCAGTGAGTCAGGGGGAATAAGGGCAGTAGATTGGCCATGGCTGATCAGACATGCAGCACAACTAGATCTGTTGCCTAAACCAGTGGCTTTCAACCTCTTCATAGCCATGGCCCCCTCCACAACTTTTTTTTGGATGTGGTGACATCCTTAGTTGAGAATCACTGTTGCACTCAGCTTAACCTCAGTGTTTCTCAACTGGATGTTGCTGCCTTCAGGTAAAACTGTCCCATGTATCTAGTGCCCAGGCATGTTCTCTTCCTGCATTATGGCTTTATTATTATCACTGTAAAGCAGACAAGAGAGCTGGCTTGTACTTTATCCTTTCCTGGTCCTTTCCTGCATGTTGTCTCTTGGAAATAGGCATGGAGGGACGTGGAACTGTCTCACACATCTCTTTCCAGGAGAAGCATGAAGGTGGTAGGATGGGGAAAGGCAACAGCATGAGCTGGCTAGGTTTAGAGTAGGCTGAGGGGGGGACCTGGTGACCGTCTATAAACTCACTAGGGGGGACCAGAAGGGTTTGGGGGAGACGCTGTTTCCCCTAGCGCCCGCTGGCATAACAAGGAGTAATGGGCACAAGTTGATGGAGAGGAGGTATAGATTGGACATCCGCAAAAACTACTTCACAGTTAGGGCGGCTAGGAGCTGGAACCAACTTCCAAGGGAAGTGGTGCTGGCCCCTACCCTGGGGGTCTTTAAGAAGAGGCTGGATGCCTACCTGGCTGGACTCATTTGAGTCCCGTTTCTTGTTTTGGGGTTTTGTTGTTCTCCCGCCCTGGCGGGGGGTCGGGCTAGAAGATCTACTAGGTCCCTTCTGACCCTAAATCTATGAAATAAGAGTAATGCAGGAGGAGTACACACATGTGCTTCAGCCCTGCATATGGGGCAGTGTTATCTGGTTGCAGCAGCACCTGTCACAGCACCCCTGGTTAGTCTTTCAACACCCTGGTTGAGAACCACTGATCTAGTCCCACTCTGTCCCAGTTTTCAGAGACAGATCACAAAAGGTCACACACTTTACCATCTGCAATTTATGCCCCCTTTTTTGTTTCCCCTTTCCCTCCTCTGATTCATTGCTTCAGAGGAGAGATTCCATGTGGGAGATAGTCAAGAGGAAGGACCTGTATATGCTGGCAAGATATGTCTGAAGCTTGTACTAAGGACGTTGGGTTCTATAGAAAATAGAAAGTTTGGAAGAGGCAGATAAAATATACTTATTGACGTATCTAAGAATATATATTTCTCTCTCTTCTCCACCCCTGCTTTGATATACTTGATTACACACTGCAGCCAAAACTTCACTGTGTTGCAGATCTTGAATCCTCCATAAAACTGGTTTTCATAGTTGTTTTATTTCTTGATTGCTAGGTAGCTCCTTTTGGTACCCAGGAAGATTAGAGGGTGGCTTTGTATTTTTGGAGTCCATCTTGGCAGTTAGTTGCTGAACTTTGCTAATCTCGTCTCCTTTTTCCTCTTTTTTGGGCATATGTGGTGGTGATGTCTAGCTTAGAGTCATCTGAGAGTAGTTGCCCTGTTTCCCCCTCCACCCAATTTAGCAATTTTTTCCCTTTCTTTTATTTATATGTATGTATATATTCCAGTAATATAATATATCCTTTTTTTAAGACTTGATGTTTAGTTTGCAGCAGATTAGTAGCCTCCAGAGGCTACTAGTGGGAGAACTTCTTTGTTTGGAGGGGGAGAAGGTGTGTTGGGAGCACCTTGGAAAACAAAATAGGCTGAATATCCTTCCATTTTCTAGGACATCTATTCAGTCCAAATAATTCTCTCAGGATCTTAAAGGACTTTCCACAAGTGGCTTGTTTGGGATTCTTATGAAGTACTGCTTTTTAATCTATTTTCTGAGGAAATATTTTTATGTGGGATCTCAATATCATCTACTGCCCAAACTCTTTGCCTGAAGCTAGTTGTGGGAGATGCTAAAGAAACCCTCTTAGATTTGAGTCCGTGGGACAGGGGCTAAAAACTGAAAGAAATCAGAAAGACAAATTGAATCCTACATTCCTTCAACATGACAATCAGTTTTTATGATTTGATTGTGGGTAATTAAGCACAATCACATTATTTCGGTTTAGGCAGTCGTTTTAGGGCACTGGCAAAATGAAGTGGCATCTTTGACTGCTATTTTGTCTCCTAGTAAGAAATACAGTTACTTGAAAGTGACTGTGGGAGCTCTAGTATCCAATTCTCTCAACACTGAGGACTGATAGGGGTAGTATCTCCTTTAATTTAAAATGCATCGAGAAATACACATACAGAAAGCTTTTAGTAGATATCTGTTCCATCAGGTTCTATAAGGAAGTAATGGCTTGTGATGGACAGTGATCTATACACCTATGATGAACTAGATATGAAGCCATTCTAAGAGTACTGTTTTGCTTTTTAAGAAGAAAGCTAAGCTTGGATGGATGGCTCGTGTGAACTCGGACAATATTCTGGTAAGCCCCCTGTTACAAAAAAAAAAAGGGGGGGGGGTTCTAAGTTAACTCAGAATTGTTGAATGGGAAATAGTAAAGCACAAAATTAATGGGAATTAAGGGAAAACTACAAAAGAAAGCAAGTTATTTACCCCTTCCTGGTCCAAGTTATTTCTCCCCAGTAACTCATTTATCCCTTCCTTACTTTTGAACATTGACCCAAAAGTATTAATAGTATTTTATCTAGATGTATGAAGAAGGTAGATTAGCTCTTGTTGAAAAAATGACTTCTAACATTTTCAAATGTGGGCACCTGATAGATGTAAGAGTTCAGCTTTAATGACGAGG